CTAAAAGTAAAAAGAATGAAACTATCAAGATCAATTTAATAATTATGTAATAAAAAGAAGCAAAAGTATAATAGTAAGATTTAGATTTTTAAAAATTACTGATGGCAAAACTTTTTTCTATCAACAATTACTTAGAAACATTCCAGCAAGAAGTGAAAAAGAACTGTTGGGTCAATTTAAAACATATAGAGAAAAATTTTTATCTCTCTTTTCAGACTTTGCAGCAGAAATTCAAAACTCTAATAATACCAAATATTTAAATATTAAGTAACAGCTATCAATACATTATTCTGAGCATATTGAAAATTTATTAGAATCATTGAAAGAACTGATAAATATAGATATTCAACATATTTTAAAATTACAAATGAGTGGTTTAATAAAATTACCTAATATATATCCTGAGTCCAATGTATTACATTTACCAAAAGATTAATATTATACAATATCAATGATCACAAATCATATGGGAAAATATGATAAAACACATTGGCCTTATTTTTTCATCACTGATGGCGCTAGTACAGGGAAAACATATTTAATAAATATTATAACAAATATGTTGTTGAAATCAAAAAAATCAAAATACTTACTAATGGCTTCAACTGGTGTAACAGCTAACAACATAAATGGTACAACAATTCATTCTCAGCTTTGTATCTTATCAACAGCAAATAGTTACAAAACCCTAGTACAATATGATAAAAATTTTGAAAATGAATTAAAATTAATAGATACAATAATTATGTCGGAAGTATCAATGGTTTCTTTAATTTTATTTTCATTTATTTCTGATATTTTTGCCAGAATTCACCAAAATTCTATTGTATTTGGTGGCATTAATGTTATTGTAGTTGTTGATCTTGTCCAATTGCCTCTTGTCAAAGGAAGTAGTATGTTTATGAGAGAATTGGGACAGAAAGCCTATCCGCAATATGTATAGCATTTTACTTTTCTCGCCACATTGGAAGCCTTTTTCTTATATCGATTTTTATACCATTTTGCTTAATTTTTTTCTCGCCACACTCGAATGACGTGTGATTTTTTTTTTGGCCACATCTTCATATTACTACTCTGCTTGCTATAAAAAAAAAACTCCCGAAGGTGAAGAACTTTAGTCCTGAACCTGAGCGGGCGTTCCCCCTGCAAGCTTAAATTTAATATTATTTTATTTACTATTCTAATTCTTTTCTAAACCTCCATTTAGTTTTCTGTTACTGTGAAGCATGAATCCTTTAGGGTGAATGCGAAACAGTTGCAGAGCGAAGCGAAGTATAGTTAATATATTAGCTTTCAAAATTGTTATCAATATAAAATAGCTATATAAAAAAGACATCAAAATTTTTGTCGATATAAATAAATCTAACCTCTAATAAAAGATTTTTAGTTATTTTGCGCTTCTTTTAGAATAACTAATTTTTACTATCTCTATTAACGTCTAAATCAATTATTATCATCATAAAGAATATCAAAAAAATATCAAAAAGTTGGGACAAAGTACTAAAGCATATAACAGGTATATATCGAAAAAAAGTTGGGACAAAGCTCTAATCTCATATCTAGAATCGATTATTTTATATCCGAGATTCTATTCCAATATATTTTATATATAAAGTCTAATCTCAATATACATATATATTGAAAAAAAAGTTGGGACAAAGTCTAACCACATAGCTAGAATCTAATTTTGAACCCCTAGCACGTAATCTAAAGAATTAAATAAAGATAATATAATAGAAATACAATGGCTAGAAAACATAAAACAAATCGTACGTGTGAATGCTGTGGTAAAACTCTTTCAACACCACAAAAGCTTCGTCAGCATTATGCTAGTAATAAAATTTTATGTAAACTTTTTAATTGTGAGACAGAAGAAAGTACCGATTCAGAATATTATACAGCAGATGAAGGACCAGATGAATATTTTCAATAGATTAATTATTTAATATTTATACAAAGTACTAGTATACAATAAAAATTTTTTTTGAAACCCTACCACGTAAACTATTATAGTACTAAAGCATATAACAGGTATATATCGAAAAAAGTTGGAACAAAATCTAATCTTCTATAGCACCAGACCGGCTTGACACTTATTACAATATTCCCCCTCTACCAATTTTATCGGATGTAAACATTCCTTACAAAGAGTAATATTAAGATTTGTAAGCTTGTCTCTATGAGCACCCATTATTTCCTCATAAGTTTTTTCTCGCATATTTGCAAGCATAACTTTAATGATATTAATTATTTCCCCATAAGGTCTTTTTTGTGTATTTGATCGAAGTCTATCATAGTATTGAGCAACATAAAATCCTCTAGTATGTAAAGGGCAACAACCAGAAATTGACCCAGTAGGTTTACCACACTCAATACAAGGTATTCTTCTTTTAGCTTTCCAATGATAACTACACCCCTCAGGTCGCATACAGCTTCTTCCACAAACTTTACTGGAATTATGATAGAATGGACAGGTATATTCACCAATCATTTTTATATATATATTAAAATTTTTATTTAAAGAAAAGATTTTATAAAGTATTATATACAAAACTTTAGATAATCAAAACATAACACATATTCAAATGTCAACTACAACTAAAAATATCGAACAAGTATCTACCGAGACTGAAACCTGTCTCCCAACATGGCAAGATATCGAAAAATTAATAATTGATATATTAAGAGCAGGTAACTTTTATAATAAGGATAGAAATATAGGTTTTATGGCTTATTATAAAACCCACCTTGATGAATTACGCAGATCAGAAGATCAAGAGCAATATATTATAATCAAAGCTAGATCACTTCTTCCCAATGAAGAGATATATGATGCAAAAATAAAATCATTCAGCAATTCTTATTACAAAAATGAACCGAAAATTAGACAAGCCATTTTAAACTATCTCAAATCAATTCACAAAATCGCTAAAGAGTATTTTATTACGGATGAGGAAAGAGAAGAAGAACTTCAAGCATGGCTCAACTCTTAAGTATTCTCTGTGGTGGATATTTAATATTTCTAATAACCATCAATTGTACTAGTTACGGAATAAGACCTAACTCTTGAAGTTTTTGAGGGATTACTGTATGAGGGTCTTCATAGTACCATACTTCGATAAGTACTATCCAATTTTCATCACAGAGTTCTTTTTTTATCTGATCACGTACAAATTGCTTTTTGAATATCTCTTGATTTTTATGGAAGAAAGTGTGAAAACGTTCATGTTGTATACCTTGGACTTCAATAGCAAAACCATATTGTGGATAGTATATATCAAGTTCAAGTCCTAATGGATGATCAGGTGTTTTTAAGAAATCTGGTCTACGAATATCAGAAGGTGAACCTAATAATTTTGTAACTACATTTTTACAAAGTTCTTCTCGTTTCCAGGGACAAAAGGGGCACCATGTATTGGAATTTTTTACTTTATCCAAATTTGCATACCAAAGATGATTTTTGGCACATTGCCATAAAAGAGGTGTAATCGAATTAATATATTTTTCAGAAATACAATTACCACCTTTTTCATTTACAATTTTTTTAGCTAATTCAAGATTACAAGAATAACGACCTGAACAGTGAGGACACCATGTATCCAAATTCCTTACACATCTAAGATTTGTATACTACTGATGACCTTTGTTACATTCCCATAAAAGTTTAGAATCTATACTAATATAATTTTCAGATAAACATTTTCCTCCTTTACGATGTGCAATTTCTTTAGCAATATCAATACTAAGTTTTAAATATCCAGCATATACGTGTTGCCCAAATCCCAAATCATTTGGGATTTGGAATGCCAAAATTTCAAATTACTAGTATTTGGGATTTGGGATTTGGGATTTCGGCAAAAAATACTAATCATAATTTGGGATTTGGGATTTGGGATTTTGGCATTTGAGATTTTGGCATTTGGATTTTGAATTTGGGTGGCAGGTATAGTATAACACTGAATGTGAAAAATATAAGACCTTGTGATCTGATCTATTTAATCATGTCTGATAGTTCATAACACCTTGTCATCCAAAATTGTCAAGATCCACGCAAGCCTTCACCATATCACATAATATTGTCAGCAACATGTTTATCACCTTGTTCAATCATATCTGAAAGATCTTTGGCACTGATCTGATTATCACTTAAGTTCTGTTTAACGTATATCCTTTCCTCTTGTAGTACCCTCCATCGCATTATAGAATTTAAAGTGAAGTATTTCCAGCGTGTGTGATATGCGAACCTCCTATCTTTATATTGGAGTAGTTGTTTAAAATATTTAGTTAGATTAATATCTCTGATCTATTCCATTTAGAGATCAGCATATCCTGTTAGGTAAAGGGTTAGGAATGTATAGGTAATATAGCTTGGTATTTGGAACTCATTAATAAGGATATTGCTTATATGTGACCAAGCTATAGAAGAATTCATATCTTATATACGCTTAAGGGTTTCATTAATGACAAATTCTTCACGATGGGTTTATGGGAGACTCAAAATGAAGATACGCGTGATTATGTCATTATCATTTTCATCTTTATCATTTAACTCATTATTATCCATTTGGAAGTTGATTATCTATTGAGCCATCGATAGGTAAAGACTGGAGAATTTCATTATCAATAGTGATTTCAGTATAATAGCGATTGTTTGTTTTTAGCTAATATAAGGCATGAGCAACTTTATTGTGACAAATATTAAAATCCTTAAATGATGTTGACTTTGTAAACTATCGACGGATGATCAATACATTTATTGATGATAGATGTCGAGGTAGTCATGTGGTAAACTCTTGTATATCTTGAGGAAAATTTATTACATTTCTGTGATACCCATATTGTCCTTTGCGAAGTCTATAAACTGACATTACGGGAAATACTTGGGATATAAGTATTTCTTCGATATCTGTAAGATTACGTAATTTATCTGGTACTTCGTTTGGATCCATGTCATTTTTAGCAGAGAACCTTTTAGGTATGGTTTTTTCATTATGACAATGTCAACATTCTCCCTTAACAAGTACTATTGATGGAAAACTTTTGTTACATACTGAGTAAAGTTTATATTCTAGATAATCCATTTTAATGTGAAATTGGCATAGAGCATCTTGATCTAATTCATTAAGTATAGTTGCGTTACTTGACGGATCGAATGTCATCACATTACTTTGAAGTTGAGGTCGATTTGCACTCCGAATGTAAGTAGTCACGTCATTTTGATATTGAAGTCTCTGTGAGTCAATATTAGGATTTTGTTGTTCATCAATAGTATCAATAGTACTTAATGCATTTCTGTTAATTATTCACTCACTGCCTTCTCTTTTCTGTATTTCATCATTTTCTTGTTCTTTTTGTTTGCTATTACTGATGGAATGCATTTTTTTTACACATTTCTTTTAACGATCTTGGGATAGCTATGTCTCACGTTAACGAGGAGTTTCACTTTTTCTCCTTTTATATTTTCTTTGGGTATCGCGTGAAACACTTTGATTTTTCATTTTTAAACTGGTTTATTAAGAAAGTTAAATATAACAGAAACATTATTTACAATTAAATGAAATTTATAGTGAATTCTTTACTGATCAACTGATTTCTAAAGCTTATGTAATGACCAGATTGATTAATTAGGCCGACTACTTGTAGTTTCACAACATTTGTTCAAATCTTTTGGCTTTGTCTTTGCCAATCCATTTATCACAAGTTCACAATATGATTGGTTGACCGATATATTGTTGCACAAAATATTTAAGCGAGGCTGAATTTTTATAGGGATAATTCAATCTATTGATCTAACAATTTTACAATTTGTTTTTGTGTTTGCAACAATTTTTTTACAATCTGTTTTACATGTTTGCAACAATTTGTTTGTATATTTGCAATAAAATCAATAAAATCAAAAGAATTTAAGACTTGTAAAATAAATATTTAATTCTGTTAATTTATTATAGTATAATACATTTATTTTATAGTATAATACATTGATTTGAGATAAAATTTAAACTTGAAATAGTTTATTAAATTAAATAATAGAATTAATAGTATAATACATTATAGTATTAATTATTGTAGTACAATATTTATGTATAATATATTAATTTAGAATAAAACTTAATTTAATTGTCAATCAATATTGCTCCGGACTCACAACGGTTCCCGTTTCCTAGTAAATACAGATTTATTCAATTAATCATATGCGGGTTATATAACATAATAAATTTTACCAAGAACAATTCTCGATATCAATAAATAATTTCCTGAAATATATATATAAAATGAACACGATTAAATATATACGAAATAAGTCACCAGGGCTTAGCTTTATTAATGCGGTAAAAATAAAAATAAATTACAGAAAAAAATAAAATTTCAGATATTAATAAAGTTATTATAAAAAATAAAAAAACGGATTAATCTGGACAATGTACAGGGCATCCTATACATGAAGGTGGATCATTGTTATCGTCACCACCGCCATTGTCGAAAAAATCAAAATCATCATGTGAAAGTCGTTGTGGTGAGGGTTGTTGTGGTGATAGTCGTTGTCGTGATGGTTGCGGTGATGGTTGTCGCGGTGATGGTTGTCGCGGTGATGATTGTCGCGGTGATAGTTGTGATGGTCGTCGTGGTGATGATTTATTTTTTTTACGTCTTTTAGTTACATGACCATCATTGTAATTTGGTCTTTTATTGCTACTGCGAAGATTATAAGGTGGTTCTGGTGATGATGATGGTGTTGTTGCTTCTGGTGGTGGTGATGATGATGATGACGATAATATTGTTGTATTATTATCATTGTTATTGTTACTATTATTATCTTCGCCAACATTGACGATATTACCGCTATTGTCATTATTATTGTTATTATTTTCATCATTATCGTTATTGTTGTTATTAACGTTATTGTTATCATTACCTCCATCATTATAATTATCGTCATTATTGCTATTACTACTATTATCATTATCATAATTATTACGATTAACCCGTTTTCTTTTTTTTCGTTGCGTAGAACCACCAACATCGTTGCTATTATTGTTATCATTGTTATCATTGTCATTATTGTTGTTCTCATCATTATCAATATTATTATTATTATTATCATTGCTGTTATCGTTATCACCGATATCTTCATATAAAGTATCATAACTAGCACCACCATTATTATTATCTTGTAAAAAATCTTCTTCTTCATTAACCGAATTCCCATCCTTCCATTTATTTGAATTTCTAATTAATTCGATATTCTCCATTTCTATTTTTTTATCGATTTCATTAAGTTTGCGCAAATGTTCAAGCTGAATGTGCTCTTTTTCTTTTTCATAGGCCAAGATGTTTTGTTTCTAATTCCAGAAGAATAATTAATAATAATATTAAAGCTGATATATAAATGCAAAATAAGTGGTTTACTTACTATTTTACATGCATCAATTACTCCGTTCCAATAAGTTTCGAAGTTATCTTTAGCACGTGTTCTTTCGGAATTGACCTATTGTAAAAAAGCATTTATCAATGTTAACAGTGTGTAATTTTTTATTAAGCGTGTAATTTTCTATTTAGTGGTAAGGGCATGCCAAAAATCAAATGGTTTAGGGCGAACCCTATAGTATAGAGAAATC